GCAGGGAGCCCGATGCGGGACTCGATCCCGGGACTCCAGGATCATGACCTGAGCTGAAGGCAGTCGCCCAACCAACTGAGCCACCCAGGTGCCCATGTCACTGTGTTTTTTAAAAGTTGGTACCAGTTTATATCATTCAGTACAGTTAACAACATAAAGAAAACATTTCTAAAACCTAGGTAGTATTTTTTTAGTTATGGAAGAATAAATCCACTACATTTTTCTATTTTTCCAAAACCAGATAAGAAAATTACAGATGACATATAAAAACAATTTCAATCATATTAACAAGATGTTAAGAAGTTATGAATTATATTTTTAAAAATTCTGCAATATTTACCTGGTTTAATACAACAAAATTTAGTTCAGAGGGGTGTGTGTGCATGTATTTTTTTTCTTACAAAAAGTAAGATTTTATTCAAAACAAATAAGAATTTAAGAAAGCATTGCTAGTGGTTTCTGCTTCTATTAGGAGGGTGCATCAGAGTCTCTGAAGGCCCTTCAGCTACAAATATACTTAAATCCTAGATAAAAGATAATTTACATTGCCAGGCTTGCAGAAAGGGACCTTTCCTAGGCTATACCTCCATGCCCCTCCAACAAACAAACATCAAAAGCATGAAACAAAATATGAGCTAAAATCAGAGTGGGAACACTAATACCAATACCAACACAAGAATGTGTACTGAGTTTATGGGTGGATAAAATAAAAATCTCTCTTTTTCTTAAAAGATTTTATTTATTTGACAGAGAGAGACACAGTGAGAGGAAACACAAGCAGGGGTAGTGGGAGAGGGAGAAGCAGGCTTCCCACGGTGCAGGGAGCCCAATGCGGGGCTCGATCCCAGGACCCCGGGATCATGACCTGAGTTGAAGGCAGATGCCTAACAACTGAGCCACCCAGGTGCCCCAAAATAAAATCTCTTGAGGGGGTTCCTAAGACCTGTCAGATCCCAAGTCCTGGAAGAGGCAAAGGCATATCAGATTAAACCCAGCTGAAGGGAGAATTTGCGAACTGGTAGAGAGAGCTGAAGAAATTACCCAGAATGTAGCAGAGAGAAAAAGGAGAAAAAATATTAGAAAAAGATGAGGAGGGCGCCTGGGTGGCTCAGTTGGTTAAGCGACTGCCTTCGGCTCAGGTCATGATCCTGGAGTCCCTGGATCAAGTCCCCCATCAGGCTCCCTGCTTGGCAGGGAGTCTGCTTCTCCCTCTGACCCTCCCCCC